TAGCAGGGTTCACGCCACCCCTGAAAGGTGCCGCTCAGGGAAGCTACATGATGATGGAGAGTTCGTGACGCCTTATTCACACGCAATAACCCCCTTTCAGTTTTTACTTATGTAATAGGGAGATATCAGAGAAGGGCAAATACAGCACAGTTTGTTTGCTCCCTGGGGAAAATCACACTCCAGCAAATTCCTCCAGCCCCCATAGGATCGCTGTGTTTTGGCACAGACCTAGAAGGCGCTTCCACTCCGAGGTCTTAAAGCAAGAGAGTAAATAAGGTTGAAAGCACACGAAGCCCTTGGGGTCTTTTGGCAGACTGCGGATTTTGCAATGTTGACTGTTGCCTAAGAGCTCCTAAGTTATTCCTTCAGAATAAATGCTGCTTTGTGGGGCCGCCTCTCCTTCCCTGTCCCCCTCCGCTTTGCTCCGTTACTAAATATTTACGATGAACGTGACGTTGTGCTCGCCACGGCTCTCCTAGTTTGATGCTCCTGCCACGAGTTGATCTGATTTTTCAGAGTTCTCACATAATTTGCAATCTTGGTTCTGACAGCTAATTACAGAAATGGGGGCCTGACAGTGCCCGCGTTTCACAATTAGGTGAACCCACTAAGATCTCGCTAATTGTGGGCCAGCCAGGAGAGCAGGAGCTGCTTCAGGGAGGCTGGAAACAATGTTCGGAGGGTGAGACTCTAACTGGATTAAACTGGCACGGTCCTCCAAGCCTAGGTGACTTCAAACGGTGTTTCTGTACAGATAGGGATGGTCTGATTGAATGTTTTATCCTTTTCCTTAGGGGAAGACATTTCCTTCACGTTATATAAAATGATTATTTTCATGCATTTTTCTCCTTGTTAATACAGTTAGTTGAAAGTGTTAGAAGTCCATTACAGGCGATAAATTCAAGAAAATGGGGTTGTACCCAGACAGCTGTTCTTACGCTGATTTATTTTGTTTTACGTGTGTTTTGTAAGATGCGCTCCGAGCACAGACCCGCTCCCAGGAGCAGCCGGGCGGGTTTTTCCAAGATGAGCAGAGAAACAACTGAGTCCTTAAAGTCTCCAGAAGCCCCCGGGGAGCAGTTGTACTCGGCTAGCGGGTGTTACTCTTAATATCGGGCAGGGCAGTATTTAAAAGAGAATAAACCCATAGGGCCCCCTGCGCTGCAGCGGCTGCAGAGATGTGTCCCCACGCCATGCCAGGGCAGAGCGCTGCTGCTCGCCCGCTGGCAGGGACCAGGCATCCCTGCTCCCCATCCCACAAGCCACAGCTAAAGGTGTGTATTTTGGAAGGGGGATGGCTGGGTTGTCGTTCTCCAAGCAGCTGTGTTTACTAGGGGCTGAAATGATGGGGGTTGGTCCCTTTCTTTGCCCCTTGCCTTGTCTCCTGGCCCGGCATGCCCACCCCCGCATCTCCTGGTCCCATCACAGCTGGACCCCACATCCACCCCATCCCAATACCTGCTGCCTCGGTTTCGCCTCTCTCCCTGCGCCTGTGGTTTGGCTTGATACCTCCAGAGGATGGGTAAATTTGTCACTAGATGCTCCCGCAGCACCTGGCACGGCGAGGCTCCGGTCTCAAATTAGCCCTCAGGTGATACCAACAAGAGATGCCAAACAGGGGGCACAGAGCCACCCCCTCACTGGGGCCGCTGGGAGGAGGGCTCGCTCACTTTGCAGATGCCGATTAATTAGCTGAAGTCCCTCGGGAGTTGCATGAGCTGTTGTTTTCGCAAACAGTGCATGAAGACGTGCGGGGAGGCGTCTCGGTACCGCAAAGTGGTGTGCGTGGATGAGAACAAACGGGTGCAGAACAGCGGCTACTGCGACGCCAGCAAACGGCCCCCCGAAATCGAGAGCTGCGGGCTGCCGCCCTGCGAGTACGTCTGGATCACCGGGGAGTGGTCGGAGGTGAGTCCCCATCCCCGTCCCCGTACAGGGACCGTGCCACCGGCCACCCGGCTACCCTCTCCTCCTCTCACCACTGGCCTCGCTGAGATATTGCAACCCAAATCGACAGTGGCAGGGCAGAGCTGTGTGGTTTAATTATTATTTTTTTGGTTTGTTTCTGTGTGCAATTTCCCCTCTGGAGAGAAAGGCGTAGGGCTGTGGGAGAAGACCAGGATATTAAAGACTAAACGCTGGTGTGCTCAGAGTCCTAGCTAATATCTAGAGGCAATTTTCTTCCAAAGCACATGGCGTGCAGCAGGCACCCTCTTTGGGTTTGTGCCATTTTATTTCATTTATTTATTTATTTTGTTTTATTCCCATCCCCTCCCGAGAAGCTACGGGGCCCCACGAGCTGTGCAAGGGTCCGGGTGAGCATCCGGGGGGAAAGGCGAGCCTGGATGTGACCGTGGGGACACGTCCTTCCTCGGTGCCGTCTTTGGCAGGAGCAAGGACCTGGCGTGAGCGAAGGCAGCAAGTTCGCCCTCGTGGCTGGGCGAGGGCTCGGAAAGGAAAATAGATAGTTTTCTTTGCGGCAAGCGCTGCATGCGGGAGGACCTGGGCTAATCTCAGCCTGTTTCCTTCCACAAGTCTGCAGAAGGATCACTTTCCACTTAGAGGAACAGCAGAGGGAAATGACAAGGCAGCTGCTGACACAGTGCTGATTAAAAAGGAAGAACACGAAAAGGGAAAAAGGAAAACATGCCGGGATTGAGGGGGAGGAGAGACAAGCCACCCGAGATAGTGCAGGAGGGAGAAATGTGGAGAGATGAGAATTTCTCAGGGTAGCCTGGTCTCCTGGGTAGTGTCCTAAGAGAAACATTAGGGTGCCTGTGAAGCTGGAGCCCTGGCTGCCTCTTGTCCAGACACCCTCTACCCACTCCCACTGCCTGTGGCCCCCTGGGAGCACTTGGACCCATGAAGACGAGGAGGTGGGTGAGAGCTCATGGAGCTGGAGCTCAGCTCGCCCCAGCTCCCACTCAGCATTTTGGTGAGGAGGGCAGAAGCACTTTGCCCTCTGATTACAAGGAAAACCTTCCCTTTCTTCCCGTTGCTGCCAAGTACCTGCAATTCAGGGTCAGTCTTGACCGTTTTCTTTCTCTGTCCATCCTATGGGGGGGGAAAAAAAAAAAAAAGAAAACCCAAATAATAGAGGCGTTTCTGAGTTCCCAAGGATCTTCTGTTCCTTTATTGGCCCTTGGGGAGGGATAACTTGTGCCCGGGAGCCAAGTGGGAGCGGGGGGTCCTGGACCAGCTATAGGGCAGCAGAGGGAGGAATTGGGTTCTCAAAGACAGTGTTGGGGGCCAGCCCACTTGTAGCCACTCACAATACCCGTGGCTGTCTTAAATAGTTACTAGTGATCCCTCAGAGCAGCTTGCCGTGTTAAAAGCTGGTAAGGCTGCTTTTCCTCCCCATTTTGGGCAGCCTTCCCAAAGCGTGCGGTGCTGACAGGCGCTTCCTCTGCCCGCAGTGCTCCGTCACATGCGGGAAGGGATACAGGCAGCGCCTGGTGTCCTGCAGCGAGATTTACACCGGGAAGGACCACTACGAGTATGGGTACCAGAACACGGTCAACTGCCCCGGCACACAGCCGCCCAACATCCAGCCCTGCTACCTCGGGGAGTGCCCCGTCTCAGCATCCTGGCGCGTCGGCAACTGGGGAAGCGTAAGTTTGGCAAACTTCGTTTTTTTAACTGAAAAAAAAATTGGAACAAACTTATTTTTCTTTACACAGGGGATACAGTCCCAAGGTTTAGCATTAAGACCTGCATGAATTAACGCAGTGAATACCCTCGTGCAGCGGCAGCCCCGGTGTGTGTAGGGCTCTTGCTCCCGACTGAACCCCATCGTATCGGGGAGTCCCAGCAGCCACGAGTGGAGTCACGATCTCCGTGAAAATTTGATTGTAGCCAAAATCTGTGGCAGTGTTAAGGGTCATGCTGAATGCTTAGTCGGAAAGTGGGGTCGCTGCCAGAAAACAAGGGGTTTGAAAGCCTTATGCTAGAGTAGAGGCAGTGATGGGTAGTTGGCAGCTGGGCTTGATCCCACTTGCCCACGTGTGTGAGCAAGGTTTAGGAACCCCCCAATAGGCCAAAACACTGGTAATTGTAGCCTGAAAAGGATTTTAATTTCTTTTTCTTTCCCGTCCCCCTCCTTCTTACAAATGCTGAGACAGGGCAGGGGAAAGAACTTTGCTGTTCTGCTAAAGTTATTTGTGTCGAGCCTTTTCTGGGGCCTGAACTACAAGATCAAATTTTAGTTAAGGTGATAACATTTCACTTCTTTGGGCTTCTGACATTCTTTGAAACGTGGTGTTTCTCCCATAAATTTGATTTATTAATCCAGCTCAGGCATTTGTCAGAATTTGTCAAACCTTTACAATGCAATGAGGGTCAAGTCAAGCAAAATGTAGTGGAAGTTGTCACAGTAAATGGCAGAGCGGTTTGAAACTGAAGTTCTCCTGCACCATAGGAAGCTTCAGATCCTCCCTGCGAGTCAGGGCAGAGGACTTACAGCAAAGAGCTCAGCCTCAATTAATTGGTATTTTCCCCCAGAATTTCAGTGCAAAATGTCCAGTTCATTAGTACAGCTTCATTCCAAAGAGTATCCGTTTCAGAGAGCAAGACCTTTCTCTTCAGTTTGGGCTGCTGAATGTCCCAGTGACTGCAAAGTGCCATGACCCTTCTCATCTCTGATTTTCAAAGGGATTTAATGTAAAATAATGTAAAATACTACCATCTTTGATGGACACAGAGAGTCCTGCTCAGCTCTGTAGTTAAATTTTATGGATTTGGACCAGATAAAGAGTAAACACCAAGTTGCAAATACCATGAGCTGTTGAAGACCATGTCCTTCATGGTGCACTCCTTTGGACTAAGCATTTCTAAATGGATGAGCATCCTCATTTTCTTGGCATCCTGACCTCGTACCTGTAGAAAGAGCTGATTTTCAGTTCTCAAGTACTGAAAGAACAAATGGCGGAGGAGGAGCAAGATACTCTCACCTCCCATCGCCCGCGCTCAGCATCAGCGAGCCCGGACAAGCTGCTGCTCGGTAGGTCCAGTAAATTGTGCAATTTCATCCTTAAGATTGCCCTTGATTTGGGCTGTTTGAGGATTACCGGGTGTTTGCACAGATTTAGCCATTTTTCCAGAGGGTGAGGGGAGAGAGGGTTTGAAGGCTGTGGGGTTTTTCATGCGATTTGGTTAGAAAACAACAACCCATGTCTTGTTTGTTCAGAGGCCCCTATCAGTGTCCCAAGCAATGTCTCCCAGCCACCAGGAGAGGATTTCTACCATTCAGGCCTCCTGGTGAACATTTCTCTCTTGTACGACCTTCCTAGTGTGAAAAATAAACAATTTCACATGAGCACATGGTTCACCTTAACCAACACTGCCTCATCCTGCAAAGCGTTTAAGTGCAGAGTGAAGTTCAGTAGTCTTCCTGAAATAGCGTTGATGATAATAATGAAGGGATTAATAATCAAAGGGATTACTTGTTTGATTAAAATTAAGCCTGTGTTTGAACACTCTGGAGCCCAGAAATCCTTGAGATAAAATACGAATCTCTGCTTCTGTCTTGCAGTGCTCCGTCACCTGTGGAGTCGGAGTCATGCACCGGTCGGTGCAGTGTTTGACGAACAATGACCAGGTCAGCAGCTTGTGCCATGCGGATCTGAAACCCGAAGAGAGGAGGACATGTCACAACGTCCATGACTGTAAGTCTGCAGATTTGCACCTTCCTTTGCCTTTCTCGTGGCTTCAGCATCTGTTCCCATCAAATTCCTAGAGATGTGCAGCACTTCCAAGCATTGGGAGCCATCCAACAAAGCACTAAGTCACTTCAGGGAGACCTCTTAAAAATAAACAAGGTGGTTTTGATGCTTTAGATGCTTCACAGCGTTACAAAAAAAATGTTGACGTACAGTTGCTCAGTGACCACAAGTATTTCTGTTTTGTTTCAGGTGAATTACCAAGGAGTTGCAAAGACGTTAAACATCTCAAAGGTGTCACTGAAGATGGCGAATATTTCCTTCAAGTGAAAGGAAAGACATTAAAGGTGCATTTCAACAACAGACTGATAGTTAATGCATTTCCCGAAGGTGCAAGAGGACCCTGCGTGTGCTCTTCGCTTCCACTTTTGCGTTCTCGACCTTCAGTTTTCTCGGCCATCCCTTTGCACGTGATACCTGACAAAATTCTGGCTTCTCTCTCTCAGGTGTATTGCTCTGGGATGCAGACTGACAGCCCAAAGGAGTACGTGACCCTGGTAAATGGGGATGCAGAAAATTTTTCAGAAGTGTATGGATACAGGTAAGGAATCCCTTAATCCTGATCTTCACGGTATTTTTGTTTTCCATGGCAATATTTTCCGGTCATGAGTAGAAAGGGTTTTCTTTTGATTTAGATTGCATAACCCGACTGAATGTCCGTATAACGGGAGCAGACGAGAAGACTGCCAGTGTAGGAAAGATTACACAGCAGCTGGGTTTTCCACCTTCAGCAAAGTAAGGCTGGACCTGAACACTATGCAAATAATAAGTGAGTAAAAACAGGGCCTTGCCATTAAAAAAAATGTTTATTTTACACAAATATAGCTGTAACTACAAACAAGTAGTAGTACTCTAGTGAGCAATATTCCTGTTAAAGGCTGCTTTACACTTGGAGATTGCAACTTGAGTACATCAGAGATGCTCATACTATTTCTCTGTTATGGGAAAATATTAAGATAATCGCTGGGGCATCTGCTATGCAGAATGAATATTTGCGTGCTCCCGGCAGGCCAGTGTGTTTTCTGAAGGATTTTATTTCATTTGATCTCCTATTTTCAGACGGGACTCAGACAGAAAGCTTAACCAGGGAGGAGCTGGGCCCCATTTTACACACAGACATGTCAGGAGATCCCAGGGCAGGGTCTCCGCTGGGGTCGGCGATGCTGCTTCCTCAGGGATGGGGTGGAGGAGGCTCTTGGCAGAACCAGACCATGGGGAAATAATTTGTGCTGGGAGTGATGGAGGTGCGGCCGTGGACTTGCAGGGGAGGAGAGGGCTGTAGCTGTGGAGTGTAAGTGATACCTGGTCTCTCTGGAGCCATCCCGCCCCCGGAGAGCCCACAGCATCTCACAGGGTTATGGTTTCAGTCCCCTTGACTCCAGGGATGCTATCAGTTTCCAGCAAATGTTTTAAAAACACAGTATATTGTTGGGGGGTCATTCAGTAAATAGCAGAGATTTTTTTAGCAAATCAAAATCCTTCCTTGTAAAATGCCTCTTTATCTGATAGCATTTTTTATCACTTAATTTTCAAGCCATGATTCCTCCCAGTCTATCAATCTGTAAAAAGCTACTAATAGTCCGTAAAAGCTCCTAGGTAAAGATCTCAAAAGAACTACCCTTGGGGAATTTGATACCAGCTCCCTTTGAATTTCAAAAGGAGCTGGGCACCTACCTCTGTCAGGCAGGAGCTATCTCACATCCCCATCTAAATGAGTCTTGGTTACTTCAGGTCCCTCCGAAGCAAAATATCCTGATTCCCTTTGAAACCCCGACCCCTGGGCTGGGCAGCCAGGAGAGCACCGAGGTGGTTGTTTGCCTTCTTTTAAAAGGGGGATTTAGGAGGTCCGGTGGCCTTCTTGAAAGCGGGGCATTTTCTGATAGAGAAATAAAAACCATGGGTTCAAGTTTTATTGCGATTTATATCTAGGCCCTAAATCACCAATGCACTTATACCGAGCTGTAAATGTTGAGCATGTGAGCGTCCTGTTAAATTCAGTGCTCACATACTGGGAGTCACATGTGGGATGAATTGGGGATTTCATATTAAAAATCCAACAGATGAGGTTTTGACTCTCAAGATTAATGTATGCAACCAGCTTTAGTGAATTTAAACACTAGCAGAGTATATTTACATTTATTTTGTCTCTCTCCCTGCATATTTCTTTCTGTGTTATTCACCAACTGTTCTCCACAGCAACCGATTTACAGTTTGCACGGACACATGATGGACGACCTGTTCCTTATGCCACCGCTGGGGACTGCTACAGTGCAGCCAAATGCCCGCAGGTATTTGACAATAGCATTTCATAGGAATTGGTGCCGTTTGTTATGTTCAGGCCCTCTATTAATTACTGCTGATCACATCAGCCCAACTCCAATGAGCATCACATTCTCATCTCAGCGGTCGGAAACTTTTCCTTTTGTCCGTGCAGAAAGCACTCTCCATTTTCCATATGGGAAAATGTCAGGTTGTTATCAGACCAGTGTCGGGACTGACTAAGGGACATTCCTCAGGGCCTCAGACAGTCAACAGTAAAGGAGAAAAGGAAGAAGAAATAAGCTGTGGGAGAAGGGCTGGACTTTGCACGCATAGTTGAAGGGTAGAGGGATCGGTCCGTGTCAGGGATGGTGGAAATGCTGGGCTGGATCAGGCCATCAGGATGCCCTGGGACCCCGCCTCTGTGCTCCACAGCCTTGGATCTGCTGAAACTGCTCTTTGTGGGCGTGCAAGATGGGTGAGAGAACCCCTCTGTGGGTGGAGAAGACAGCAGACAGCCAGCAGGACTCCTGCCAAGCCAGCTCAGGGGGCAGATGGCCAAGAAGGAGAGGGGGACAGCCTTTGCAGGGCAGGAACAGGTCGGGTTTCTGCCACTGGACCGATGGAGCACAGCCATCAGAGACCACAGTGGTGCCTGCCAGCTGCTGTCCCACCATCCCCGTGACCTACTGGTTATTTTCACAGCAGCCCAGAGGGACCACCGCTCACTCCACTTCAGGGCTGGGAAAACGCTGATGAAACGAAGACAGTGCCTGCACATCGGGGCAAATCCAGCCTGGCCCAGCACTGCGAGGTGCCTGGCCACGAAAGCATAGAGCTGAGCACAGGCTAAGTCACATCTTCAGTAGCTTTGGGAGGTGATGCAGGACATCTAGCCTATTTGCTTGGAAGAAATATGCTTTCTTGAAAGTCTCTAGGAAACTAATTAACACTGTGCTACAGGTGGCTTGCTCTGTGTCCCCAGCACACCTAGTTTCTGTGGAGCTGGGAGATAATAATTGATATGTTTGGATGGTCCAAGGTATTGGGTGGACCTTACTTGCAAAGGGCATTAAGGAGGGTGTTGCAGCAGCAGACGGCAGAGGGCAAACCTCTCCATCTCCTTCCCTCCTTACTTTTGGAGCTGACACTTTTCCGCACAGCTCAGCGGCTTAGGGATTGACTTCTTACCTCGGGAGGGCTCATGAATGTTAATATCCATCCACCTGACCCAGACAGTTTGCTCCTTGCAGAAAATCCACATTCCCAAGGCAGCAAGTGCAGGCAGCAAAGCTAACAGCCATCTGGTACCACACGGCTGTGCTGGGCTGCGGGTCAGCCCGCGGATGTGGCCGAAGGATCCCTCCTTGTGTCCTCCTTGGGCAGGGCTGGAGGCTGCCGTGGGGGTAAGGGGAAGGCTGGAGGCATCTGCGTTGGATGCAGACCTAGCCCTTAGTTTTCCATCCATTTTGTGCATTTTGAGAGAGGTTGGAATGAAATGAAGGGAGTTTTTAAGAAATAAACAAATGAAAGAGTTTTGATTTTACTGAAGTCTGGGTGTTGTTTTTTTTTTTAAAAAAAAGCCTAGTGGAAAGTAAGGAAAATAAGGACAAGTGTGCCCTCTCCAGTTGAGGAGGGAGCAGCGAGAGTGGCTGCAGCGCATCCCTGGGGTACCTTTCCCATCAGCTGCTGGAGCATGTCAGGCTCCGCAGTTTGCCATGGAAAAGCCAAGAATGCCCTCAGCTGGCAAACCGCGAAAAAGCAGTGTAAAACTGAGAAAAAGCAGTGGAAACCCAAGATAAAGCCCCTCCTTCTCTGCAGCCACCAGCGAGATGGAAATTCCTAACCCGAGACATGCTGTGATTTGTACAATATGTGCTAATCACTATCATAGAATCACAGAATCATAGAATGGTTTAGGTTGGAAAGGACCTTGAAGATCATCAAGTTCCAACCTCCCTGCCATGGGCAGGGTGGAAAAAATTGAAAATATTGCCGGCAAGATCCTGTTAGGAAAGTCACACTGTGGCAAAAGCACAGCATTTTGGGGTAACCAGGCTCGTCTGCTTGTTTTTTAGGGTCGCTTCAGCATAGACCTTTATGGGACAGGCCTGTCCTTGATGGGAACGGCAAAGTGGCTCTCGCAAGGGAATTACGCAGTGTCGGAAATTCAAAAATCCCCAGTAAGTTGTAATTTTAATTATGTTTGTACTTGCTCATGAGAAGTTTCTAATTGTTGTCTTTCATGGCAGCATCTTCTAAGTAGAAACTAACAAAAATCAAACATCTGACATCAGAAATGAAGCGTTGCCTGTAATTGTATGTGAGGTGGGGGGGGAGACGACACCTCACAGGTTTAACTTGGTTTGAGTTATTGCAATTAATTAGTGAGCCTGCTTAACCGTGAAGCTGAAAATGCTGCGTGCTGTGGGGCAGACATCTCTTTAATTAGTTGTCCGAGGTGTCCAGCGTGGAGCGTGGATCACGGGGCAGGCAGGACCAGGGCGCATGGGGTCAGAGCTACAGAGCAGGGCTCGACCTGCCGGAGAGGGTCTGGGTGCTGGGCGAGTGTGCCCCATGTAGGAGCTGTGACCAAAACGTGGCTGATAAAGTGTGGAGGACGTGGACCTTTGCAATGGTCTGGGTTTATCTCCTTGGGAGAGACCCAAGTCAGCCGAGATGTGGTGGGTCGGCGCTGCCCCACGGCTCGCTGCACCCCAGGGCACCGTCCCCTGCGGCTGCCCGTGGCTCTGCTGACCCTGCAGCCTCCGGGTAAGCCAGGCAGGCCTTCAAAATCACTCCACAACCAAATTTGAACTTATAGGGCTTAATTTGCCTGCCCATTAACCCCTCTGCCGCTGCATGCCTTCGCCCCGTTGCTCCTGTGTCATGTTCTGAAATTGGAGAAACCCAGGATGGCATTTTTGGCTGTTACTTCACGTGAGTCATCCTGATTGTCCCTGTTAAAACTCTCCGAAGGAGATGACCATAATCAGTTAACAAAAAACAATTTGCAAAGTATCTTCTCCTGTACTGCTTTCAGTCCCCCTGGCTCGGGGGAACCCCTTGAGCCCATGAGCCTCATCAGTGCTGGGGCTCTTAAAGCAGAATTAAATGCTATTGGTCTGACCATGCTGCAGCAAAGCATCCTCCAGTACAGGTAGAAGAGGACCAGCACAGCTCCCCTGTGTTAGTTCTGGCAGGTGCTTTGCTATTCTTCTCCCCTTCAGAAAGGAGAAGCCCGGGCAGCCGACTTTGGGGTTGCGGAGAGCAGACACCATCACAGCTGGAAGAATTAAAACAAACTTTAAGGGACAAGGGGTCTAAGAGACAACTCTTACCTCCATCACCCGATGGCATCTGTCAAGGGCTGTTCCAAGGGGGTAATTGCCTGCAGGAGCAGAAGAAAGAAAGGCATAGTGAGAAGAGATGATAGCAGCTTGCTGCAATCACAGATCGATAGTGTCAAGGGCAGGATGGAGCTCGTTTAAAAATAAATGCTTTGTGCAAGCTTGTCCTGCACTTCAGTCCAATTTTCTGGTAATTGAGGGTTGAATTCCCCTCAAGGACTGTCTGCCCATTGTAATGACCAAGAGGAGAAAGACTCTGCAGAGGTGGGATAAGGAAGGCCAGATGGAAGTATTAATCTCTGAAGCCAAGACTGGAGCTGCACCATGCTTGCTGGGCTCTCCTGGAGACCGGGCCAACCCCAGGACTACTCCATGTCTTCCTTTGTCTCTTCTGGCTGTGGAAATGCAGAGCTGAGAGGGGACAGCACTTCAGCAAGTGGCATAGCCTCACTCCATCTCTTTCCCTCTCCTCTTGGCTCTGGAGCCACTCCAGGCCTTTCCCTTCCAAATGGATGTTTCTTGGTACTGCCTACGACTATCCTTCCTGTGCCCTTCATGTGCTCCAGCACAGCTGAGGAGCTGTTATTTTCTAGATGGGGTTTCGCTCTTGCGTGAGCCAAGTTTTCCGCTCATTACAGTTATTCACTGTGGGGCAAATTGGAGAAAGCAGATACCCTTGAGATACCCCTCCAAATGGCCTTCTCCTTGGGCATCTCTCACTGTAATAAATCAAAACTACCCTTTCTTATTTGTGTTCACCATCTGACCTGATAGCACTAAAGGGAATTACATTTGCATACATTTAAATATAATGGTGATTTTGTAGATTGATTTAGGCATAATTTGTTTTCCTTCCAAGACGTTTTCTATTAAAAACCCTGGCTAGAATATCCCGGATCTGGCCCTTTCACAGCAGAGAGTTCCTGAGCCCTTCTGTGAGATGTTATTTCTGATTTTGCCTGCAGGATGGTACCAAAGTAGTAGGAAAATGCGGTGGTTACTGTGGGAAGTGTACTCCATCATCTGGAACAGGCCTCGATGTTCAGGTGTTATAGCGATGGTGAGTTCCCAGCTGCTTCTGCACGACGGAACTCCTTTCCTCTGAGGGTGGCAGAGCAGTGGCACAGGCTGCCCAGAGAGGTGGGGGAGTCTCCCACTCTGGAGACATTCCAAACCCGCCTGGACGCCGTCCTGTGCCACTGCTGGAGGTGCCCCTGCTCTGGCAGGGGGATTGGACTAGATGATCTCCAGAGGTCTCTTCCAACTCTGACCATTCTGTGATTCTGTGATTCTGTGATGGGAAATCTTCCCAAAAACATCCTGAAGGAGCAGATCAGGCCACGCTTGCAAAAGCACTTGTGCATTGAGTGCATCGGTGACGGCCACCCACCCCACGCAGCATCTGGGGAGCGATGGGATACTGGGCTCCCAGTCCTCCCTTCCTCCAGTAACGCTTTCGGGTATAATGCTGTCGACTGGAAACGTGCTTCCCACCTCACTGGCACCCGCTTTGGCTCTGCTCTCGTGCCCATCTCTCTAGTTACAGTTTTCAGAGGCGAAGATGATGATCAGACTCTAATGTGCACCTTGTCTGTATTTTCCAGGTTCTCGGAGAGCGGCCAACGGAGAGGAGACGGATGAAGGATAGCGATGCAATACCTCTGCCTTCCACTTTTTTATCTGTTTATGTGTGTATATAGATCGCATATTCTTAATGTACAGTATAATATTTATGTTTGGAATTATTTATTTTGATTTAATATTTTTGTACGTAAAAATCATTATATTAAGGCTGCTTTTACTATTTTTATTTTTTATTGTTAAATCCTGCAGTCAAACCACTGCATTTTTGCATACTCTACATTATATGTAGCATTATGACAAGTGATACTTTATTGTCACTGTATTCAGTTGTTTACTTTCAATCAGTAATTTTCCTTCAGTTACGGGCTGCTTTGGCCCTCTACGGTGCTACACAATCTGCATAGGGGTATTTTTGGCATTTCAATCTGTCTTTATGTAAGGAAAATAGACAAGATGTGCTTAAATTTTATTTTAGGGATTAGGCCGACAGCACTCAAGGAAAACATGACAATGAATACAGTGCTAGTTGCATTAGCAATCTTTATCTTTTAGGTATGTTTTGAATTTCACATGACCTCTGTGGCCAGTGCTAAAAGCACTGGTTTGGTGCTAACATGATATTTATTAATGCTCTGTAGTTTTAGTTAATCCGGTGCCTTTATCAGTGAAAAAGGGAAGAAAGCAGAAAAAAAAATTGCAGGCGATTCGAATAAATTAAGATTTACCCCAGGTTTAGGAAAATTCCTGCAGATGGTTCTTCAGCTTCTGCCCCTTTTTTTTTTTAGTGTAGGGCTCCGAAGTGAACTCACTTTTTTAAAAAAAAACAACACATATTTGTCTCCTGATTGCATGTGCCACTGTGCTTCCTGGCTCCATCTGGAAGCGGGGTATTAACTCATCCCAGGCAGGCTCATCAGGCCATATGTTTCCCTGGGCTGTGCGCTGAGAAGCGCTGCAGTTTCTTACGGCGCCGTTGTCACAAAATCCTAACGCCAAGCCCAAAGCATCCCCTGCCGTGCTATCGGACCGCGGGGGGCTGCGGCAGGGGGTGGGGGGACAGCACGCCCAGCCAAGCCGCCCCTTCTTCTTGGCTGGGGGACTCCATTGCGGGCACCTGCAGCGTTTCCCCGGCTTCCTACTCACTCGCGGACCATCTGCAAGGGGAGGCTTCAGCGCCGGCTCTGCCTCATTTCAACAAGATCGCTCTGTACTTACAGATAACTCTGCCCCCCCTCCCCCCTTCAAAAACAGGCTGCTTTACGCCTACTTCTATGTTGCTTCGGATCTTCCTGGTAAGGCATCTGCGCTCCTCGCCCATCCGCCATCCCGCGTACAACCAGACCTTTAGCGCTGTCTTTTTTTTTTTTTTTTTTAATATAAATTGAGGAGACGTCTCCCATAGGCGCTGAACGCGGCTGTGCGATGGCTCCCGCCTGTACATAGCCCACCGCTTGTGCCGCGCCACGTCTTCGCAGAGCTTCGTAGCACGTTGAACGGGGGTGATGTGACCAGATTATTTTTGTAGTCTATGACTATGACCCTTATCTCTTTCTCCGCAATTTTACTTAGCGATAGGAAGATGCTGCCCTTTCGCCTTACATACCGGGGCAGCCGGGAGCACAAAGTACAAGGAAAGGACGCTTTTCAGCACAAAATTGCCAGCAGTTTGGAAAACTAAAGTCTTGCAGATAAGTTTGGAAAACTAAAGTCTTGCAGATAAGTCTCGCAATTTTGGATGCCAATAGTTAACAAACGCAACCTCAGGATCTTGTGTGAGTCTCCCCGAAGGCTGTGTAATCAGTCTGTTTCAAAACAGGCGGATCAATAGCGATAAACGACCCGATCCCCGGATTCATAACCCGTGCGTGTGCCGGGCTGTTGTTCAGCCTTCAGAAGGAAACCTGTCAGGGTGACAGGCGGGGATCAGCACGTTCCCATCAGCTGGGAGACCTCTCGTGGGCGAGCAGGGCTGTGTCACAGCCCAGCAGCTCAAGAACCGGTGCTCTGCACTTATTCTGCGTGTGCCTCTGCTGCTGTTATTAATATTCAGACTTAAAGGAAAGAATGAGGCTCTTACCCATAATTTGGAGGGGGTTTTTTTTTGGCTTAATAGCGCATAAGTAGATGTGAACATATCTTAGAAAGACTATTTTTTCACCTACGTTGTGTGTCTATGCATAACAATAATAAATTCTACCATTCTGAGACAAATGCCAAAAATACCATTGCAAAGGTGGAAGAAAAGAGAAGGGAAAAAGGGAAAGGGGAAAAGGGAAAAGGGGAAAGGAGTAGTAGTGGAATAGGGATTTTTTTTAATGATAATTGCTTATGTATAACTTCTGTAGGGGAAAAGGGAAAATTGCACTATGAACTTTAGAAAGAAACAGTGGTGCTTAGAAAGTACAGGCTTATTATATTTTCTCTAATGAAGTGAGTGGCTATTTATAAAAAGAAATATTATTTTGACCTGTACACGTTCATTTCTGCCATATAGTTTCATAGCAGCTATTAACAGAGAAAGAGAAGCCTAAAAAAAAATATTAAATAAACTATAAGGGAAAAAAATGATAGAGCACTGATCCTGTGGTTCATTAATGGGCTTCATTAAATAGGAACAGACTTTGAGGACCAGAGACATTAGATATTTTTTGTTCAGGAAACAACTCTGGGTTTTGTATATCAATGCCATTATTTTTCTACAAACTGGGGGTTTTTTTGCAAGCACTTTCCTGTACAGTGTTTCTTTTCTTTCTGCTTATACTCAAAAGGAAATGAAAAGACCTGTAAGACATGTCTGTATGGTCTTTCCGCATTTGCCATCGTATTTCAATACCTGTGTGCTATTATAGAGGCAAAATACTTTGTACACAAGGGAATAATACATTGAATGGTAAACATTCCTTTCTGTGCTGGTGTTTATTTCCAAGCTTTGGGTTCCTTGTTTGATTGTATCATGCAAAAAGAACGAGGGAAGGCAATAATGTTGTTTATATGGAGCCCTGCCCCAAGCCCACATTGGAGTCTGTGGACCAGGGACCATCTTGGAGAATGGCCATGGCCGTCCACTCGTGTCCTGCCGGTCGGATGGACTGATGCTCCCCAATTTCTGTCTGGGAGAGGAGTGCCCCGAGGTACAAAACATACCCAAGCACATGTCAGAGGTGCCCTGTGCACTACTCGGATGTGCCTGGTGACCGGCTGGTGCTGCCATCCCCGCACCAGGGACATCCCTGCCATGGGACGATAAGGGAGCCAAACAGGTCATTTTGCAAATGTTTGTGAGGGATGAGCTGGGATACTGGACCTTGTCCACACAGCTAGCGGTGCTATTTAAAGAAATCTGAGGGAAAAAAAATAAAAATCAGCTTTTCTAAGTTTGAAAAAATAATATCAAATATACAAGAAAATTCAGGTAGAAGAAAATTCGGTTAAAAGGGAGCCAAAATGGGGACTGGCTCCCAGGAGGGCAACCAGGTGACAAACTACAGCCAGTCTTACATCGCCCCTATCCCAGAGGCTGCAGGGAAGGGTGAAGAAGTTGCATTTTTCTGTCCTCCCTTGTACCTTCCTCTTGCTTTGCCTTGGAAAATGCAGCAGGTCTCTTAGCACTGGCAGCTCCAGCCTTTTTCAGCTTCTGTGTTTTTAATCCGAAAGGAGAGAGGATGCCTTTCTCATGCTGTCTAAAACACTGTCAGATGCAGAAAACAGAACATTCAGTATTTCAAAAGCTTGATTCTTAGTTTAAATGACCAATATCTTAAAGGTGTCTTTCCTTTCTATCATTTATCCTTAATAAATGATTACAAAGACACTAAATGTGGGCTGCTGTGGAATTAAGGCAACAGGGGGTTGGTGCACAGCTCCTGAATCCTATTTGTCCTTCCAGCCCTGATAAGGAAAGGGTCATTTTAACACTTTTGATGCTTAGGTCTGGTTATTCTATGGAAATTACAGCGCTCTTCTTCAGCCTCATTGTACAGCACATCAGGACTAATTGCTCCAGAGACAGAGGTGATTGCTTCATCTCTTCAATGTTCTCTTCTGCCCCAGTAATGGGCATTTTTTCCTCTATAGAAAAATAAAAGGCATTTTGTTGAAAACTCACATCTCAGGGAGATAGTCTTAAATGAGGACATTTGCTAGGAAGCCACCTTCTGCATAGCCATGCTTTGAAAATCATATTGAAAAATGGGGAGAGGCAGAAAAGACCAAAGAGGGCAGTCTGGGCTTGAAAGACAGTTTTCCACTGAGGCACTTCCAGACCTGGTCTAGTGGGTCTTTCCAACATGACTTCTCTTCCCAAACAGACAATTGAGGGCTGACTTAGAGAAAACATTTCTGCTGGGGGAACAGCGTTGAGGAGGGACAGTTCTCCCATCTACCAGACAAAGGCACAGCAATTCAACCCAACTCAGGAGTCCTTAACAGTTGAAGCAGCTCAGCCTACGTGGTAAGTTCTCCCATCGCTTGA